AGGGTGACCAGAGAAGAGGGAAGCCCAAGGGGGCTGAGTATTGGTCTGAACTGTGGGTGCAGTGCCTGGGTGCTGTGGGAGAGGCCAGTGTGTGTGGGCTGGGGAGGGCCACCACAGTCCCCACGCACTACCTGTGAAGCTCCAGTTCCTCCCTTCTTCCTCCCTTTCCCTTCCAGTCCCTCTTTTCCAGGAACCTTGCCACACCTGCACCTGCTCCCTCCCCACCGTGGCCCTCCCACAGCTGCTGCAGCACGCCTGCCCCTGCTCTGGCTTGCCTCACCAGCTCTCTGCTCACTTTTCTCTCTCTTATTTTCTCTCTACTTCTCTCCAACTGCCAACTGATCAGGTCAGGCAAGTTCATCCGGACCTGAGAGTTCCAGCCCCACTTCGACCTTTAAACAGAACCTCCTCTTCTCAGAGGCCTCCCTTTCCAAGCCTGCCTGGGTGAGTGCCCTGTGACTTGACAGTGGCTCCGCAGCCCCAAAGCCAGCCCCCTTCATCTGTGACTTAGTCTGTTGTAGTGCTGAGCTGACACATCCAGGTGTGACTGTTGCTGAAAACTTGTGCCCCTTCTGTGGCACGCCCTGCCCTGTTCTATAAATATCTATAAATACTCATATATATATACACGTGCGCGCGCGCGCACACACACACACACACACACACCCCTACACATGGCTGACCGCCTCACCTCTAGCACTGGGAATCAGTCACCGTGCTGTCCTTGTGGAGTCTTGTGGCCCAACAAGAGAAAGCTCTCCCCTGACATTGCCCCTCCAAACTGCGTCACCTCCAGTGAGCCTCCCTGTCATGCCCGGCCTGTGGACAACCAGCCCCCACCATCCCTCCCACCCCCCAACAAGCATGGGGGCACGGTGCAGGCAGCTGTGTGGACTGACAGTCTCTACCAGTCCTGCTGTCCCTCGGCTGAGAATCAAACCCATTTCTGGATGACGGAGAATGTGTCCTCTGCTGGCTGTGTTCTCTGTGGAGCTCAGGGGAGGGACAAGGCCAAGCCATTTCTAGGGTGCTGTTGGGAGCAGTGTAAAGGTCACACCCTTTCCAAGGGACACTTTTCCTGGAAAGCCCCTGGAGCTTAGGTGAAGCCGGCTCTGGCCACTAGAGAGCAGAGCCATGAACTCAGCCTGGAGGAGTCTGTGGGGTGGCAGGCACTCTGGAGGGACAGACGGAACAGGTCACCAGGTGCACTGGAGGGACAGACAGAACAGGCCACCAGGTGCAGACAGGCAAGGGAGGCAGCAGGGGCACGGAACGGAAGAAGCCTGGGGTGGATGGAAGTCGGTGCCCTTGGGTGCTGGTGCCTGTCTTCCCGGCCACCGCTAGATGAGGCTTCTGAGCCTATTGGCTGTCATGGCTGGACTGTGCCCTATAGGTGCCATGGCAGTCCCCATGAAATCCGCCAGGGTCACCAGGCAGCATACAGGTAACAGGCCTGGAAGGTCCCCAACAGCCCAGCAGGACATTCTCAGATACTCGGGGGCTCCTCGTTCAGTGGCACAAACTCCAGGACCCAGTGAGGGAAACAAGAACACACCAGGCTGAGCAGTATGGATAAATCTATTTATTCTAAACTGAAAAGCAAAATAAACAGTTGCATCAGCAGGTAGCCACAACCTCATCCCCATCTCCTTCCTCAGTCCTATGCTATCAATAAGTTTCCTAACCGCAAATAATGATTAGAACCTCCTCCCCATATGCCAGCCCCAACCTCCACTAGGTACGATACAGGGGGTGGCCCTACCCCCCGGAATATACAAAATGTTACACAGATACTATATGTACACTGGGGAAGGGGGGCCACCCCAGCAGCGCGTGCCCTCGCCTGCTCTCCAGTTGGCCCCACTGTCCCACCTCAGCTGCCTCTCTGAATAAGAAGATGGGAGCCCTGTGAGGTAAAAGTTGCTTTGGTGAGAGTAGGAAGGCCATCAGGCCTCCTCCAAACAAACGAGCTCCACCAGCCTCTGGTTCTTCAGTAACAATCATCATCATCCAGAAATTTAAGGACTCAGCCCTGGTCAAGGTGGCAAAGGGTCTGTCTCCCCCCATTAGACAGAGGTCTTGTCTTGCTACCCTAATGGTAAAGGGGTGACTGGGAAGGGGTGGTAGGGACATGGTGGGGGCAGAGACTCCAGTCCCACTTCTCCAGGCTTATGCTGACAGGGGTCTGCTTTTATTTATTTTTATTTTTATCCCATGACTTATTTTTTAATCCCATAACTTCTTTTTCATAATCTTTTAACTTTTCACAAAACTTGATTCTACTTTTTTCCCACAACTTTTTTTCCACAACTTTTCCACAGCTGATCTACATATTCACATTTTCTAAATATCAGCTTTGGTTTTGGAACTGATTTTTTTTTTTTTCCATTTCTGGAAAACCTATCAGGTTTAATCAAATACTTTAAAAATGATTATATATTGCAATCTTTAAATAGGTATTTTCTTTACTTCCTACAGAAATTCAAATTTATTCAGTTGAACTCACACTTTAAAGTTCTATGTTTCTGATAAACTCTAACCTTCTAATGTTGCTTAAAAATGATTATATATTGCAATCTTTAAACAGGTATTTTCTTTACTTCCTACAGAAATTCAAATTTATTCAGTTGAACTCACACTTTAAAGTTCTATGTTTCTGATAAATCCTAACCTCTAATGTTGCCTTCTCAGCAAACTGAAAGCTGTCTTTATACTGAATGAGAAGAGAACAAATACTGCTGAATGAGGTATCGCAAAAGACTGTATGCACTTTGAAGAAAACTTCTGCTATTATCATACAATTTCTATTCTTTAGCTTTTTTAAAAAAAATTACAAAATACCTACACAAAGAGTGGTATTTCAGTTAATACAGTATACTTTTTCCAGACTGACATTCAGTTTAAACATGCCAGTGTGTGACTTCATCCATAGGTACCTGATGAACACATTATTGTCAGATTGGTTACAGATGCTAAACACTATCTGAAGGCTTGTTCACAGAGTCATTTATATTTATCAGGGTAAAAGTGAAGGGATTTGAACTATAAAAATACCTTTGAAATAATTTCAGACAAATGGTTAGGTAAAACCTGTCAGAATTATAAAGAAAAATCAGAGACCAAACAAGGGGGCTAATTAACAGTGGTATGATTTCAGCCCAACGCTCCAAAATAGACAATTTGAAGAGCTTGAAGAAGCCACAAGGACTAAATATTTGCACCTCTTTCATGAATGCAGGCAAATCTATTATTCCATCTGTAAAATCATATTATTGCTCTCCTATTAATGTCATATGTATAAAAGTATCATGAGGATGCCAAATGCTAAAAATGGAGATGGTCTAGTAACTAGAAAGGCCCACCCCAGGGAACGCACATACATCTCTCCCTACATCCTAATAAAGTGCCGTATTTTGGAACACAGACATTAGAACTTCATGAAGTTGTAGCTGTTGATTCTTTCCCAAGCATCATAAAGTTATGATTTAGGCAATGTAATGACTGAAAGAATTCATTCATCATGTACAGACACATTAACATAAATATGGCACAAATTATGCCTCTAACTGAAACCGAGAGGTATAAAAACATATTTCACTCTTTGTAAAGAACTTTGTGAGGAAACATAACTCTGTGATTTATAGACACTTTTCCTCATAATACTTTGACCTTCACAAACAGTAGACTGCACTGCAGTTTGTAAACATTCTTAAGCTGCATAAACTTCCCCTTGATTTTCAAATGTAGTATAATACTGTCTACTAAAACTTCTTTTTGTTTCAACTAATACTCTCACATATATTGGTTTATAATAATGGTTGTTATTATTTTTAAAGTGTTTTCCATTCAAAGAAAAGAAGCAAATTCCTGTGTCAGATTAACCAATGTGGTTGAAGAATAGGTATTAGCCAGAGAGGTCTAGATGGTAAAATCAATCTTCTAGCCTCAAAGAAGCTCCGTGAACATAGAGGAATGCCAGGTGTCACACAGCTTTCCTTCACTCAAATTCATTCTTGACTACAGCCTATATGCCTGTTCCAGGGACATTTAAACTCTGAAAGGATTTCTTATGATCTTCACTAAATACATTAAGAAGAATGCCAAGCAGTGCCCTTTTGTGTACTGGGACATGTTGTCATGTGATTAAAACAGGTAACATGAACTCAGACTTTAAAATGTATTGTGGATATGAATAAGCTAGAAAAGATTTTCCACATCCACAGTCAATGACGGGAGCCTTTCATTCCTCGCAAATAATCCCTTTAGGTCATTCTGAGAAAGAGTTCAACTGCTGCAGCTCATGCTGCAATATCTTCATGAACCCAGAGCACGCATAACCTAAGGAACTACCATAGTACCGCGCTCATTCCTGTGCACCAGAACAAATGACACACACTCTATCCTGCACACACCTGCCAGAGCAGGCCACTTTCCTCTTTTGTGAGATTTAAAAAGCTCCCCAAAATGTTATCCCTCCCATCCCCAATACACAGAAAATAGGGGAAAGGCTGTTTCCAGTTCTCGGCCTTTAAACAACTCTAAACAAATAGTACTACAGGGGCATATTACAAAGTAAGAAACAGCACACTTGAGGCAAACCACATATTGAGCTAATGAAGAGCTCACTGTGATTAGGATTCAATCAAACATAATAACAGAACACAAGCTAATTTATCTGAATTCTGTAATGAATATACATGCAATAACATTGAAAAAAAAGTATGGCAGCCTATTCCAAATCAGCAAGAATAGTTTTGTGCAAATAGTGGGTCTTTGTGTGTTTGAACTCCCACCTGGAGGGCAAACTCGATATGCACGCTAAAGACCTACAATTATCAAAGTAAAAACAAAAATGCAAAAGGATGCCAGAGTGAATATCAGAGAAAGATCCTTCTCCCTTAACTTTTTATAAATAAATTTAAACTGTAAATTAGAAACACAAATAAACACGAGGGGCTGTAACATTCAAATGAAGTAAATGAGCTGTGCAGGGATTAACCTCACTCACTTTTTTGCTTGTTGTTTTTCAATTTCGACCAGCTCTCAGATGATGATGATGTTGGATCTCCCTGTTCTCCGCTGCCCGTAAAAGAATGGACGCAGGGTTTGCTGGCCAAGCCTGGGTGCTCCTGGGTGTCCTGCATTACGGGAAGCAGCTGCACGATCTTCAGCGTGGGGCTGGGCACATGGGAGAACCCTCCCTGGCCTCTCCCGCAGGCTCCATGCTGTCGGGCCAGGCCTCACAAAGATCTTCGGAGAGAGGAGGCGGGGGTCTGAGCATGCGCGAGCCTCCCCTGCTCCTGCCTGCCCACCCTGCCTGAGGGCTCTACTCACCACCCTGTTCCTCCGCAGCCCCAAGATCCTGGGGGCCTGGGGCCCCTGGAGCGGGCTCCTCAGCAGGGTTCTGTGCAGTGGGGAGGAATTTGTCATGCCCCTCATCATTGCCCATGAGCGGTAACACCAGCTCCTGCAGCCCAGCAGTTTTCACCTGCAGGGAGGTGCTCAGGTGCCACGTGACTGAGCTGGCACCAGTGCCAATGCCTCCACCCCACCCCCATAGAGATATTGCATGCCCTCTACCTTCATCTCCTCCTCCTTCTGGGCCAGCCTGATGATGTTCCTCTCCTGGTGCTGTGTGTTTGGCACACTGCCCCATGGCTCTCATATATGGTGATGTACTCTCCTGCAAGAGGACAGGGCTCAGATGCTGGGGCTCTCCAATGGCCCCGCAGCTCCCCATGCCCTGCCCTGGCCTCCTGCTCACTCATGCCCTCTCTTGCTCCAGAGAGCTGGATGAATCCAAGCTCTAGTTTTTCCACCTGCTCCTTCCTGTCCGCCTCCGGGAGGTCCACAAAGCTGCTCTTGGAGCCAAAATAATGGGGTCACATCTCGGGAGTGACCTGACCTTCCCGCCTCTACTTTTCTTGGCCCATGCCAGGACTCGCCTCACCTTCAGCTTCTCCATGGCCTCCCCAGGCCCGGTAGGTGTCCCCACACAAACTCACCCCAGTCCCTGGGTCTTGGGCCTCAGCCTCTGGCTCCTTCCAGACCGAGGCCACTAGGTGAGCCAGGTACGGGCAACACAGCCTTTGTGACCTCTCTGGCTGCCCACATAACCGTGCCTGCTCCTGCTGGGCAGTGGCTCCAGTGGAGTTGAAAAATGCCACATGAAGGCAAGAGCTGAGTATTCTTGTAGGGGCATACACAGAACAAATGGGGCAGGGAGGTGGAGCACAGCCCCTTCCCTTGGGGTCTCAGAGAGTGCACCTGTTGGTCACAGGTGAAATGGTGTCTGACCACTGGCTCCTGGAAGGGTGAGGGGTCCAGAGAAATCAGAAGGTGGGGAAACCAAGAGCATAAGGGGGTCTGGGAGGGGCCACAGAGGAAGGTGGCAAAGCGGGGCAGGGACAGTCAGACTCACCGTGGCCTCCTGACTCTCCAGGTCCTCTGGGGATGCTTGGTATGAGCCGAGGTGCCTCCTCCTCCTCACTGTCCAGATGTCTTCCTTCAACTCCTGTGGGGAGGTGGCCAGAGGGGTCCTCAGACAACCCAACTAGGGAGGTACTGTGGGCCCACCTCTCCCCACCCTCACTGTGTAACCCTGAGCTAGTCCCTTTCCCCAGAGGGGAATGGGAGCTGGGTTGTTCTTTATTTTTCCTTTTAAGAACCAAGATCTTGCTATATTGCCCAGGCAGTCCCACTACTGTCTGTGGTGGGAGTTCTGAACTGCTCCTTTCTGATCTGGGCCAGTTCATTCATCCTTAGGCACCTTAGCGGCCCCCTGGCTCCCAGTAGGTCACAATATTCATGCCGAGCTTAGTGCAGACACCTGGTTGGCATAATGACCAGCTCTTCTAAAGGTTTCTTCCAACCCTTCAATCCTGTGCTGCTGACAGTCCCCCCTTCCTCCTGGGCTGTCTCTCTTCCCCGAGTGGTCTCCTGTACCTTCTCCAGGGGAGAGCCATGAGGCTCATCTGGGCCTCTAGCTGATTCTGCTGGCTGGCAGCTTCTAGGTGCTCCTAAGGGAATGGAAAATGAGTGAGAAGCCAGGAGGATGCCAGGTCATCCCCCTTGAGGCCCTGTCCCCAGCAACTCCAGCTCCTGGCCCCCTGCAGGTTTAGCAGGCCATCTCAGTCACCGCTTTGCCCCCGCTCTCCTGCTGCTGCAGTTGGTCCATGAGCTGGGTCTGCAGCAGTAACTGCCTGTGCAGCGCCTCCTTCTCAGAGGTCAGCTGCTGATAGGTGGCCACGCACTGCTGCGTGGTGACCCAGGTACTAGTCTCACTGCTGCTGCAGACTCTGAGACTCTTGGCTCTTCAGCTCCAGCTGCAGCAAGGCCCTGGGCATGAGGGCACATGGTGGCTGGCTTCAAGATTCTGGGCCCATTAATACGGTGAGCGAGGCACTGTGGGCTCTGTCACCTGCCTGGGCTCCCCTGACCCCTTGCTCCAGGCCTGAGAAGCTTCCCTCCCTGCCTGAACTCCATGCCTCCTTCCCAGCCTCAAATATCATTTATTTGGGTCCTTCTCTTCCCACCATTTAAACTTTAGGCCACAAACTGCAGTGCCAGAGGAGCCAACCACCATCTGCTAAGTGTGCGCGGCAAGCCTAATGCTTTCCCCATGTATTCTCTCATTTAATTCTCAGCACCTCTGCAGGAAAATGCTAACTTCCTTTAGAAGTTAAAGAAACAGAGACTTAGAGTTGAAAAGTAGTTGAATGGTGACCAGAGAAACCAAGTCGAATCCAGTTTGAATCTATGGAGGGTTTTTTGTTTGTTTTGTTCTGAGACAGGCCATCTGTGGCAGAGGCTGGAGGCAGTGGTGCGTTTCAGCTCACTGCAACTTCCACCTGCCGCGCCTCAAATGATTCTCATGCCTCAGCCTCCTGAGTAGTTGGGATTACAGGCATGTGCCACCATGCCTGGCTAATTTTTTGTTGTTGTAATTTTAGTAGAGGTGAGGTTTCACCATGTTGGCCAGGCTGTTCTCAAACTCCTGACCTCAAGTGTTTCTCCTGCCTCAGCCTCCCAAAGTGCTGGGATTACAGGTGTGAGCTAATACCCCGGGCATATGGGAACCTCTGTATACCAGTCTCTTCCCTATGATTGGGGGTTCCATGCCTCTAGCTGGAATGATGATGTCCAGACCTGGAAGGAACTCCAGAGCCACCCACCCCAAAATCAGAGGGCAGGAAGCAAGAAACAGGAGTAGAGCTTTCCTGAGGGTGCTGAGGTCACCTTCCTCCAGCTAGAGCTGCCTTTGGCCTGGCACCCTCCTCCCAGAGGCTGGTGCTCCGCCTCCCAGCCCACTTTGATGGGGCAGAGGTTACTGTCTCCCTTCACCTCACTCGGCTTCTCCTGCAGCTCCTTACTTCGCTGCTCCAACTGCAGTGTGCTCTGTTCTCATTGTTCTGACAGAGAGAAGCAACTGCACATCCACTGCAGCTGGAGAACCCCTGAACTTGGTGTCTGTCTCCAGGTCACCGGAAGGGTGGAGGCAGGTTAGAAAATCATCTCCTCTCCCCCCACAGCCATCAGAGCAGGGCCTGATGAGCTCTGCTCACAGGTGCCTTTCAAGTACTATCTCATGAGGGCTACACTGCCCATTTTACAGGTGGGGAAACAAAGGCCTGAGGGCTAGGGATGAGGGCAGCTTCAGGTAAAGCAACCCACCAGATCCCTCGGCTGACACTGTGCTCGGCCAGGTGCTTGTCGAAGCTTTTGGTTCTGGGAGAGTGCGAGTTTCCTTCCCTGCTGCAGCCTCTTCTCCTCCCACAGCCTCTCCTCCTGATCCCACAGCCTCTTCTCCTGCTTTTGCAGCCTCTCCTCCTCCATTCGCAGTCTCCCGCTTTCGCAGCCCCTCACCCTGCTCCTGAAGCCTCTCCTTTGCTCTCACACAGACTCTCCTGCTCCTGAAGCCTCCTCTCCTCCTGCTCCTGAGCCTCCTCCTTTGCTGCTTGCTCAGGAGACTCAAGGCCTGGTTGCTTTCCACCTGGATTGAGTTTCCAAACTCTCCACCCTCCTCAGGTGTTTGGCCTCATCTTGTAGCTGCTCCACCTCAGAAGGCCCTGCTGGGGGTGCTGGGGGTGGGGGCTCAGCTGAGAAAGGAAGCAGACAATGAGGGCCTCTGGATCTCCCCGTCGCTCCCACCCCCTCCCCCACCAAAACCAAGCCCTCTTGGATGCACAGCTCCTCAGGCTTCCCAAACTTGGCCTCACTGCTGATGATTCCTCGCACTCCATGGAAGCCACCTCCAGCCATGTCAGGGATAGAGAGCACCTGCGGTGGCTGACAACGGGCACTATTCCTCTTTGCTGATGGGGACTCTGAGGCTCATGGAGATGACAAGACGACACTCCTGGCACAGACCTCTTCCTGCCTCAAAGCCCTTCCATTCACCCACTCCCTGGGGCATCCTAAGCCACCCCCACAGCCCTCTGATGCCAGTCCTGCTCCCAGGTCACACCTGCCAGCCCCACCTACCTATCTGGTGTTTGAGTTCGGACAAGGTCCTCTCCAGCTCCTGTATCTGATGTATGTCACGCATCTTCTCCTCCTTCAATGTGCGAGCCTGCCCAAAGCACAGGGGGAAGGGGCCCTGGAGAGGGGGCTGGTGGCTGGACAGGCTACCATCTTCCTCTGCCCCCACTCCACAAAGCCCAGGACCCATGACCACCTCTGGCTGTACTAGTCCATTTGCATGCCCAGAAAGACCCAGTGACACATCTAAGGTGGGGGCTGGGCGGGTCAGGTCTCACCTCCACCTACATTTTCCGCATCCCTCCTGCCACCGGCCCCTCTTTTATATGTTGAGCGATTCGCCTCTTTCCAACTGGACTTGTTTCAATGACTCTGTCACCTGCAGGAATGGGCACAGAAGTTAGGAAGGGCTGTCACTGGTCCTCACCTGCTCCTGGCCACCTGGAGTCATCTTCCTTCCTACATCCCTCCCTGCAAGCCTCACCTGTCACGTGCAAGGCTCAGCAGCGCCCGCTCCTTTCTGGTCTGGTCGTAACTGCCGCTGGAGGACTGCTTCACTGCGGCTCGAGGACTGGATGGGTGAAGAGGAGAAGTTTTATGTGGGGAAAACCGGGCAGTGCCTCTTAAAAGGGCTAGGCTAGGCTCAACATACAACTCGGTCAGAAAAGATCAAGGCATTTCCAAGCCCGTGGTCTGGTTTTTTAAAGAACCCACAAAGTTGGAAAATGGACAGGAAAGAGATTGAATTTACAGCTATTAACGGAGGCCCAGACAGATCAGATAATAATGCAATTGTTATTAATGTTATTACTAGCACTGTCGGAAACTTTATGGAGTGCTTCACCAGGTACCATGCTAACAATCCCATTTAATCCTCACAACCATCATATGAGACAGTTCCTAGGATAACCTCTATTGCGTAGATGAAAATCATGGAGTGTTTGAGATTAAGTGCTTGCCTAAGATCACTGAGACAGAGCTGAGATTTGAACACTTGTGTGTATCTGATTCTCAAGCCCATTTTTTCTTGCTATGGGTGGGGCACAGATATAAAGGGGGAAATTGGATCTTTTGTTCACTTTTGAAAGGATGACATATTCATAGTTCAAAACTCAGAAGGTACAGAAGGGGAAGTGTCTCCAGCCACTCCTGTTACTCTCTCTCCTGAGTTTTTTTTATGAATGCTTACACTTATAGACATGTTTTATGTATATTATCATAGTACATACACACACACAGACACAGACACACACACACACACACACACACAGACACACCCCCTCTCCTCTCTACAGAAATGGTGACACACTAAAGGTCCTCTTCTGTACCTTCACAGTTCAAGCAATTCGATATCCCACCTGGGTCTTGGCCAAGGACACAGCCAGGTGCGCAGGCAGGTACTTGGCCACTGAGTTCTGCATCCAGTGTTCGCTCCCCACAGCCCCCCAACTCACTCCACAGCAGCTGACTCCAGCCTCAGGCTGCCTCTAACAACCACACACAAAAGCCAAATGAGAAATGAGCATGCTGCCTTCTGGGCAGACACTGCATCCTGCAGAAGGGACCCTTTAGGCTCACTCCTCCATCTGGGAAGCCAGGCTGCCAGGGGAGGGGCCGCTGGTTGGACTCACCCTGTCCTCTTCCTGCTGCTGTGTACACACAGCAGAGAGAGCCCGCTCCAATTCTTGAATACGCTCAAAGGAGGATTGCAGGCGGCCGGCCAGATCCTTGACTCTTCTGTAACGAGAGAGGTTGAGATGGGGCTCCAAAGGAGTCCCCCCAAAGTGCCAGTGTCAAAGTGCCAGGGTGAAGGATGACAGGGTGCCCAGATTCCCACCTTCGAAGTGTCTGGCGGCACGTTTAGTATGGTAAAGGGTGGTCTTCAAGTCTGCCTTTTCCAATGTGAGGATGTTGGATTGTCTGAATTGAATGTTTGGGAGAAAAGCTACAAGTGTTGGAAAGAGAAGGAAAGAACTATTCTCCAGGAGGACAGGAGAGGGAAACTCCCCCACCCCTCCACTCACTCTAACTGTTCCGTTGTGCTTGTGTATTTCATTGCTTGCTTTCTTTTCCCTGTAGGAAGAGGAAGAGCTCTTATCCGGGGAGGCAGAAATGGTACAGCAAGAGACATGCCTGGGCATGCCACCAATGCCCCAGGACAGGCACACCCATGGGACCAGGTTATCAGGGACCCTGTGAGTATGGGGTGGAATCTGAGGGGTGAGCCTTCTTCCCCAGGCTGGGAGGTGAGACGACTGGCGCCTACATCTGAGTGCCCCCAAACCCAGCAGTCATGTTGTAGTAAACAAAGAAATCACGTTACTTCTTCCAGCTGATGTCTCCACTTGTTTCTTCTGTTGTTTCCTGTGGGGAGAGTCAAATTCAGGTGACTGAGTGGGGGCCTCTCAACTCTATTGCCCAAGCCAGAAGATGTAGGCAGGACCAGGAATGGATTTTAAAGGCAAAGTTCTCAGACCCAATGGCAACACGAATCAGTCAACTCTCTCAAGCTCCCAAAGAGAGAGGATTTGGGTCTTTGTTGGTTTTTGCCCACAGCCACAGAACTCAAAGTCTGAATCTGGATTGTCTCAAAAGGACAGTAACATAAACTCTAGAGATTGAGTTCGAGAAAGGCTCCACCCTTCTGCCAGCTTGTGATTTAGAAAGATGGGTTCATTTGACAAACATTTACTGAGCACATACAGGCCAGGTACGGGTCTTCACAGCAGATATACAGGATAGAAAAGGACAGACAGGAGCCCTTGGCCCTGAGATTTCCATTCTAAGGGCATTTCAATCGGATCGTCAGTTTAAAGGAGTCTTGATACACTCTACCTCCTCTGAAACATGAGCCCAAGGAGGAGAGGGGGGTGGGTTTGTCCAGACTCAAAGAGCAACTTAGGACTGAGTCAGGCAGAAATAGGGGCCCTGACAACCCTCACTTTCCTGAGAGGCGACAACCTGCGGCATGTGGCAAGGACTGAGCAGGGATGTCTGAAGCAGAGAGTCAGCAAAGAGGACAGGACAGAAGAGCTTGCGCTGCATGCCCTTTGCTCTGGGTCCCCCCAGGTGAGGCCTGGGTGCTTCAGCTCCCCATCTGCTCCTTGGACTAGGGGCCCTCAGACCTTTCTTCAGAGCCCCAAGGGGAAACTAAAATCTAGGATTGACAGCGTGAATAGGACCCCACTGGACTCTTTACCAATGATTCTATGTTTTACTTAGTCGATTGATTGTTGTGGAGCTTGAGTCCAGGGCTACTTCCAGTTCGTGGTACCGGCTCTGAGGCGCATGCAGAGAGGAGGAGTTGAAGGGACGATTGCGGGAGAACAGAGAATAATCATTAGGCTGGGGTGTAGACTGTCTCAGTTGGACATAGGGACACCCAGCCCCTGCCGTGAGAGGAGCTTGGAGGATGGCCTGCAGGGTCACTGCAACTCGGCCCAGGGCCTCTTACCTCCAGACCCTTCAGGGTAGCAGATGATCCAGAGGTAATAGAAATTAAAAAAAAAAAAAAAAAAATTACACGGCTTACAGTTATGGATATCGAGAAAGTAAAAAAAAAAAAAAAAAAAAACCAGCAAGGGGCTGGACACAGACTCGCCACATGTAATCCCAGCACATTGGGGGCGGAGGCGTTGGATCACTTGAGGTCAGGAGTTCGAGACCAGCCTGGCCTATGGAAACTCCATCTCTACTAAAAATACAAAGATTAGCCTGGCATGGTGGCAGATGCCTGTAATCCCAGCTACTCAGGAGGCTAAGGAAGAGAATCACCAGACCCCGGAGGCAGAGAGGTTGTAGTGAGCCAAGATTGTACCACCGCACTCCAGCCTGGGTGACAGAGTGAGACTGTCTCAAAAAAGAAGAAAAAGAAGAAAAGGAAAGAAAAAAAGCCCCAAATCCCACATGCCTGTTCTAAGCATTATTCCCAAACTACTTTTAAACTTAAAGTATGTCTCACCATTTCCAAGATGATAAAAGATGCAGGGAAGGAAAAAACCCAATCAATCAAGCAGGAGAAGCAGCAGACATAAACAGGCTGAAGGATAATGCCGGCAAAATAAAAATAAGCCAGAGGCAAGTATCCTCTAAACCAGAGAAGCCCCCAGGGGCATGCACAGCTGCAGACAGCAAGCCAGAGAGGGGTCCTGGCACTGCCTCACCTTCCACTTGTTCAATGGGGGAGCGCTACCCCACTGGAATGGTGAAGGCTGACACCAGCACCTTTCAGAATGTCCTGAATCATGAGGTGAAAAGGGAAAACAAGGGCAGAGGGAGAAAGACAGAAGTAGCTTAGAGAGAAGCAAGAAAGTCAGGGTAGGAGGAAGATGTGGGTTCAGGAAAATGAAATGCTGAAGAAGAGCAGAGGAGATTGAAACCATGGCCTGTGCCATTCTTCCAAATGGCCACACTACTTGCCAGGGGCAGGAACAAATAGATGGAAAAGTCCCCTGAGCGATGTAGTCACAGAGTAGAGTCACCTGACCAATGCAGTTTCAATACACTGACTGGACTCCTCTCCTCAGACCCAGGGCATGGGCCATGAATCTGGTAATGCTCCAGACCTCCACCTCCATTAAAACCAGATCAGTTAAGTAAGGGTTCACTTGAACTAAGGGGTCATTAAAAAGCAAGTTTGAAAGATTACTGATCTTGTCCAGTATCATCTTACAGAGGAAGAAACTGAGGCCCAGGGGAAGAAGTGATTTTTCAGGGTCACTCCAGCAAGCTGGTGTTAGATCTTCCCCTACTCCTAGTGCCTGGGGCTTTCTCACCACACATTGGGCCCTTTCAGTGACTCCTAAAGGGACAGCCTGATGGCAAGTGTCTGAACTCATTGGCCCAGGATCCCCTTGAGACTGGGATGCGAAAATCAAGCAGCAATGACCATTTCCTAGGTGTCCTGAGTGTTTACAGTGGCCAAGTACTAGGGATTAACATAAAAACAACAACAAGGAATCTCATTTAATCTTCAAAAACGGAAGTCAAACAATATTACCCCTACTTTACAGATGTGAAAAGAGAGGCCCAAAGAGCTCAAACAACTTGCCGTAAGTCAGATCCCTAGCAGTTGGAGAGGCAGGATTCAACCCAGAATTTTAACCAGTACCCAACAAATTCAACAATTACCCTCTACTGCCCCTTGGGTCCCCTGTCCCCAGGAAGCTGACCAACCAAGACTCACATTCCGAGGTGAGTGGCAACCACCAGAAGTGGTTGTCTCAGGGCTACGGCCAGTATTTTTCTTTTTTGTCTTCTCCTGCCGAACACCAGGTTGTTCCTTCCGCTGATATTCTTTATTGTGGGAAAGAAGAGCAGTAACACTATGAGGACTACCAGCTCCCTACAGCTACATCCTCCTTTACAGTTTTTGCAAAAAAATCTTATGCACCATCTGATTTAATGCCACCAACAACTGTACAAGGTGTTGTCACAATCACTTAGTGACTGAGAGGGATTGATATTATGGCTAAAAACAAGGGGGCGTGGGGCAATAATGGAACTTAAACTCAGTTTTCTGACTCCAAGCTCTGGGGTTTTCCATGAATCAGCAGCTGCCGGGACCAGAACCAGAGGCAGAGGTAGAAAAGTAAACATTAAGTAGTCCAGAACTGCACACTGTGTGGTTTAGAGTCATACATCCTCACATCTGCTAGTGAATAAGTGCACCAGTATCTCTCAAACTTTTATATCAATGTGTCCTCATGCCACAAGGCAACTTTTTTGTTAAATCTGGGAATTTATCAGAAAGAGGACAAACCTGAGTCTCCATTTCAAAGAAAAAGTCTGGGTGTGCTCTAGGAACCTATGTGACTGTCATCCCTAAGTACATTAAGGATTCTTCCTCTCTCAAGAGAATCAAGGGAAACTGATGCTTCAGAAAGATCTCCCACATTTATCCTGTGGCACTCCCAAAGTACCGGTTGAGATGTGATATGAGGAAGACTCAAGCTGTCAAGTTCAGTTTTCCAAGATCTATTCCACAGAAGATGAGCAAATGTCACTTCAGAGACCACTGACTGAAGTGCAGTCTGGTCCCAGAACCATGGAGAATTAGAAATGGGAGGTGGAGAACTCCAGGGAAAAAGTTAAAGTCTCTCTGTTGAGTAGAAACATGGGAGAGAAAATCAAACCCAACCCATTCTCCCATTGCCACCTCCAGAGATACTGTCAACATTTTGAGCTCATAGGCAAAGGGTAGCTTTTCTACACTGTCAATGTCTATGTGGATTTTAGTAAGGCAGCCTGAAACCTCTGCTCTCTTAGGTCCCATACTCTTCATTCATTCCAGCTGGAAACTGTGCTGACCAGAGGAACCAGAAATTGGGTGAGAAATGGTTAGGGACTGGGCTGTAAGATAAAAGGCTGGTCTTGCAGCAGTAATGACAGCTCATAGGGGATTGTGACATCACTACATTCCACTCCTCCAGGGGGTGGGGGAACCACACAGTGTGGTGGCTGAGTCATGCTGGATCCACATGATGGTGGAGCAGGATATTGGCCTGGGACCCAGGTCTCTGAGATGCCAGCCCAAAGAGCTTAGGAGATCGGGCTTGGGTCAGCAGGGGAGAGAGTAGAGTCTGCAGCAGGAACCCCAGGAATCACCAGTTCAAAGTCACCCAGGATGAATGGCAATGGGGGCCTGGGGCAGGAACCCACATCCTGAGAGGTGAGCCCAAAGAATCCAGGGAGGTTGGGCTTGTGTGGCAGGATGAGGGTTGAGTATGCAGTGGGGAGCCCCCAGAGGTCGCTTCACCCAAAGTCACCCTGGGGTGATCGTGAGGGCAGGGGCTGGGCTGTTTGCTTAAGGAGTGGGACTGACTGCCAGGACTTTGGTGGGGGGAGCCCAGAGGCTAGGTTGGGGCCCTTGCCCGGTGTGCCTCAGGAGTGGTATGGACTTGGCAGTGGTCTTGTCATTGAGGGGATCTGGCTGGATTGGGGGCCACGACCTGGTGCTTTTACCTTTTTCTGGCTACTGCCAATTTGCTCTCGAGTTTCTTCTAACATCAAAGGGGTGGGAGGGAGGCAGGTTGGGGCCACATCAGGAACACCTCCAGTCACCTAACAGTCAGCTGTGTGACTGAGCCAGAGGAGGCGTAACCAGGGACCCACAGGAACACAGAAAAGGGGTGTGGCTCACTGCCCAAGCCCATTGGTCAGTGAGAAAGATGAAAGGGAAAGGAGGCGTGGCCAGGCAGCAGTGTGTCCAGAGGAACCTGTGGCATCACAGCGAAGCTGCCCATGCAACTGCTGTCCCCGCCACTTGGGGTGAGGGGCGGCCTGCTTACTCCAGGAGAGGGGATGGGCCAGCTTTTTTTTTTTAAACTTTAAAAAGATACATGTTTATATTTTGTATATTTGTGTGTCAGTGTGTGTGTGTCTACGTGTTCCTCCAGAGCTGTCTTCATTATCCAGCTTCTATGCATGGTCTATGATTTTGGCCTACATTATTCATCTTCAGATGGAGTACAGGAATTACATGTATTATCTCTATTGAGACACAAATTCTATAAAAATGTAAAATTCATAGTATGTCTGATGATTAATGAAGCATTCTATATTATCCAACCTTCCAATAAGGTAAAATCATCACAAGCAATTCTCTCTCTTTGGAAAACATTTCTTATTCTCCTACATTATTAAGATTTTTTTAAAGCAAGAAACATGCCTAATATCTTAAAAACACAAAGTTTTGGTCAGGAGCAGTGGTTCACCTTAGTTCAGGAGTTCAAGACTAGCCTGGGCAACATGATGAAACCCCATCTCTACTAAAAATACAAAAATATCCAGGTGTGGTGGCGCATACCTGTAATCCCAGCTACACAGGAGGCTGAGACAGGAGAATCACTTGAATCCAGGAGGCAGAAGTTGCAGTGAGCTCCAACATCGAGCAACTGCACTCCAGCCTGGGCAATAGAGCGAGACTCCATCTCAAAATAATAAAATAAAATAAAATAAAAAACTAAAATAAAGAGAAACACAAAACTTTAGATTTAATAAGCACTCAAAGCTCTTTACCAGTTTAAAGCAAATACAAGGCCTCTTTTTCTAGAATCACCTGGCCTCTCTAAGCCTTGCAAATGAAACTGATTTTCTCACTTGATACTTGGCTATGACTTGCAATCGTGAAAATCAAGACTTGTGTTATGTCACTGTGTATTGCTACCTGAATTCCACACTATGCTGGGATCAAGGGTTGAATCTTCATGATTCCTCCATGATCTCTGAGCTTCTTATCCCACACCAAACTAAGCTTTTTTCTAGAGTTCTACCATTTCATGTTAGTAGACAAGAGGGTTCTCAATAATGTAGTCTCTGATTCAGCAGCACCAGCAGAACCTGAGAACTTTTTATAAGTGCAAATTCTCAGGCCCCACCCTGGAACTGGTGAATCAGTAACTCTGGAGTAAGGCTCAGCCATCTGTGCTGCAGGAATCCCTCTGGGTGTTCAAGAACCTCTGGCATACAACAGGTAGAAAATGTGTTTCCTTCTGAAGGTCCAAAGCTAGGATACTCATATGTTGGGTCTTGATATGAAACAATGACATGCAATTAAAAGACATAAATCTCCCTCCTGCTCCCACCCTCCATCCAATGTGTTCTATTTTTATGAGTTAAATAAGAAAACAAGTGGCAATCAGAGATTCAGTCTAAAAAGTATATTTACAATGTCAGTTCTCATCCAGCTCTGATTCTTACACCACCATTTACACTCTTGCCTCTCAAGTTTTAAAAACATATCTTCACAATGTAAGTCACAGGCACACTAGCAGTTCTATAATAAAACACCAAGTAGATTGGAATGTCCAAACTTACTAGAGAAGAAAAGTGGACTCAATGGCTATATTTTCAAATTGTATTCAACAGGAATAAGTGTTGAATTTTTTTCACCTTCGCATTTCCAAGTTAATAGAATTAAACCAGAATACTTCCATTCTTTCACAGCCTCTAGGCAGGCAAAATCTTCCCTGTATTACTTCTCAGTTTCCACGATATAAAGCAGAGTCCTCCTAGGTACATTTTGTATACCTGTAAAGATGCAGAACTAAACACTTCCATCTGTTCAATATTAAAACAAAAGACCTGTAAACCCTGGATGGTAAAAGTAATACTTCAGCAGTAGCACCAAAGCCCCCAAATATGAAAAGATACCAAGAATGCCACTAGCAAACAAAAAGAGCTCAAGGCCGGGAGCAGTAGTTCACGCCTGTAATTCCAGCACTTTGACAAGCAAAGGTGGGAGGATTACTTGAAGTCAAGTGTTGAAGACCAGCCTGGGCAGCATAGCAAATTCACATCTCTATAAAATTTTTTAAAATTAGCTTGGCATGGTAGTACACACCTGTAGTCCCAACTACTTGGGAGGCTGAGGTAGGAAAATTGCTTTCAGCTCAGGAGCATACATGCAGAAGTGCGATCATGCCACTGCACTCCAGCCTTGGTGACAGAGGAAGACCTAGATAATGATAGTCTGGTCCTGCTCCTATTTACATTAAAATCACTAATTTAATTGCTTTCAATCAGCAGGATAAAAATTAAGTGAAATGTGACTTTGGAGGTTGGCCAGAAAATAGGCAATGGAGAAACAGGCACTTCCCACAAGAATGAAAATGAACAATAAGCATATAGAAAAGATTCAAGGTCAGGTGCGGTGGCTCACGCCTTTAATTCTAGCACTTTAGAGGCCAAAGCTGGTGGATCATCTGAGGTGAGGAGTTTGAGACCAACCTGACCAACATGGTGAAACCCTGTCTCTACTAAAAATACAAAAATTAGCCAGGCACAGTGGTGGGCACCTGTAATCCCAGCTACTCAGGAAGCTGAGGCAGGAGAATCGCTTGAACCCAGGAGACAGAGGTTGCAGTGAGCCGAGATCACACTGCTGCACTCCAGCCTGGGCAATAGAGCAAGACTCTACCTCAAAAAATAAAAAAAGAAAAATAAAAAAAAGGTTCCAAAGCACTAGAAACCAAACAAATGTAATGAAAACAATGAGATTTTCTGCTTAAATACCAGCAAAGAGGACAAATGGAAGGCGGACACCGGAGCTCCGCCTGTTGGTGGGAGTAAACTGAACCAATCTTTTTGCAGTATAATTTGAAAAATTTCTACTAAAAATCTTAAAACTGTTTTATGTTATTTTCCTTCAGGGGCTCTACTTCTATGAATTCAGCTGAAAAATGCTTGCTTGAATTCATTAAAATATATATAGAAAGAAAAAATTTACTCAGGGTGGCAATGATTAACTTAATATACATCAAGCTTTTAAAAATGATGATGACAAGGGTATATTTACTGCCATAGAAATATGCCCAAAACATAGCGACAAAAGACTATATGTTATGATTCTACTTTTTAAAATGTTTATATGCACAAAAAGTACAAAAAGCAACAAACCAGAATGTTTTGTGTGGCAAAATTAAATACTTTTCTTAAAATTTTGTCTTCCAAATTATTACAAAAAGAATGCGATTTTCTTTATAATCAGGGAGAAGTATTGTTTTCATTATATTTAAATTTCTTTTTCTTTCCTTATTTTTTCTCATGTGTGTATCACATGTACTCTAGAGAGCTTGAATCCCTACCTCTTGAGGTAAATCAGACCATTTCTGTCTCTGTCAACTTGCCTTTCTTGGACATTTCAAATCAATGGAATTATGCAATACATGCTCTCCTGTCTGGCTTTTATACTTAGCTAATGTTTTTGAGGTTGGTCCATGACATATAACAGGTTTTGCAATTTGTCTTTTCATTACTGAGTAGAAGTCCATTGATGGATATACTACATTTTGTCAGCAGGAGAGCATTTTAACTCGATTTCAATTTCCTGTGGCTCCAAATGAAACCCTTTGAACACAGGACTTCTAGGGAAAGCAAGGTGCATGTCAAAATAACTACTTAGCAGAACCAGCTTTGTCATCAGGAGCCTGAACTGCTGCAGACATTTTTATTATTTTGCAACTTCTTTTTTACAAGGCAACTTGTTCTACTACTACACATCAGACTTTTGAAGCATCTGATACTGTCCATCGAATAAGTATGAGCATGTGTCTCAGTGGACAAGTGAAACCATCTATGCTACACTGCATATTTTTCCTGCTCCCCAGACTGGACCAGGAATTTCTTTAACTTTCTAGAATACCCTGTCTCCACTGACAAAGCTGAACAGTATTAAAGACCCTGTATGCATTTGTTAGGTAGATTTGGAGGGGTGGAGAGGAAAGAGTGGGGAGCTTGTGGAACAGGGAAGACCCCCTGGTCCGCGCATGGTTCCCACTGTTGAGGACGCCAGGATGGGGAAGGTTGATGGTGTCCCAAGGCAGCCTAGCACCTCCACTGGGCTCAGAAGCACCTTGACTTTGACCCCTACCCATGTTCCAGAAGTGTTTAAAAGCTGTTTTTCTTTTGTTCTTTTCCTAAATAATCATTACTTGGTAGTTAGTTATTAATCTTTCTTTGGGAGAGGGACAGGGCTTTAAAACTGAAGAACATAATTTTCAATAAAATATAAAAAATGGAAAAAAAGTTACTTGTAAACAATTTGCTACAAACCAAATGGGAGCTATTGAGAATCTCAGTAAAATGTTAAATGCATTTGCTGCTGTTAGAAGAAACAAAGAAAAATTTAGAAGAAATAAAGACAGAAATGCATTTGCTGGCAGTAGTACCATTTGCCTAAGGTTGGGTCGCTGTGTCATCATACTGTGGTGGGGGTACATGTCGTGTATATGTGTGGGAACTTTTCATCTCAAGATAGGTCATAATCTTACTGCAGTTTTCCTTCCAAATAGGGTTACAAAGAGTAAAACATGGACTTGGAAGTGACAGACCTGAGTGAATCAGCACAGCTTAAAGAAAAATCCAATAAAACTAACTTTTAACAATCCTGAGGTTGGTTTTTGAAACAGATACCATTTACTCTAAGCATCTGGTTATGATCTTGAATCAATAATACATACTGTCGTGACCCTTTTTTTTTTTTAATGGAATAGATTTGCTTCATCCAGAAAAGCCAAACACTGACTTTTTTTTTTTTTTTTTA